GGAGAAGGAAGCGCTGGTCATCGTGTTCGTTGTGAAAATGTTCCATAAGTTTTTGTACGGCAGACGTTTCACGCTTCTTACGGACCACAAGCCCTTACTGTCCATATCCAGGTCAAAGAAAGGCATTCGAGCATACTCCGCCAGCCGACAACGTTGGGCTACCGTGCTACTGGGATATGATTTCGATATCCATTACAGCCGCACAGCAGACTTCGGATGAGCAGATGGATTGTCTCGCCTCATCGGAACCCACCAAACGGGCGATGAATACAAAGTGATCGCAGTCGTCCAAGTCGAGGAGAACATCCAACGTCAACTGGCAGACAGCATCAGAGGCATTCCAGTAACGGCCTCCGAAATACGTGATGCAACCAAGCGAGACTCCTTACTCCAAAGGTGATGAAGTTCATCAACACCTTCTGGCCACAGAAGAGCACCGTTGAAGATCTCACGCATTTCTTCTAACGCTGTCATTCCCTGTACGTCGTCGACGGGTGTGTCATGTGTTCCGATCGTGTGGTTGTCCCTGCGTCCCTTCCCCGAGCTGTCCTTTGCCAGTTCCACTCCGAACATCCTGGCGTATCCAGAATGAAGACTCTCGCCCGCGGCTATGCATGCTGGCCCGCGATGGACAGGNGACAGGGATATAGTGCGGATTGGGAACTAATGCTCTCGCTGCCAAGAAGCTGCAAAACTCCCAGCTTGACACCCATCTTCGCCATGGCCTAAACCTGAGACACCATTGTCTCGGCTGCACATCGATTTCGCTGGGTCAATCAACGGGATTTACTACCTCATCGTCGTCGATGCATACTCCAAATGGCCGAAAGTGATTTCCTTATCGACTTCCTCTACTTCTTTACCAGTCAGGATGAGTTTGAAGACTAGACCAAATCAATGTTGTGGCAAAATTTTACATTTACATTCACCTGGACCTGATGGTGTGCATCCGCTGATCCTGAAGGATCTGGCAGATGAACTTGCGGCGCCACTGTGCAACCTGTTCAATTTGTCATTAACTCAAGGGCGTTTACCGCAGCAATGGAAAGACGCTGTCATTGTTCCACTGCCCAAAGTTTGGGATAGGAGTAACCCTGGGAACTACCGACCAGTTAGGCTTACTAGTGTTGTGGGTAAAGTAATGAAGCGACTGGCGGCTGCACTACTTCGGCAGCATTTGATGTGCCACGGTTACCTGTGCTACCAACAACACGGTTTCCGGCCGTGTCGCTCATGCCTCTCAAATCTGCTAATAGTACGTGAATGCTGAACCGAGAACAAAGCCAAAGGACACGAAACGGACATCATATTTGTGAACTTCAGCAAAGCCTTGGATAAGGTGCCGCACGACCTCCTTCTGTGAAAACTGAACAAACTAGGTGTAGGTGTAATAATGCGGAATCGGCTGCGAGACTTCGATCGGAAATTCTGTGTCCGTGTTGGGAAATCGCTCTCTGCGTGGTATTTCGCTCCCACTGGGGTCCTCCAAGGCTCGGTTATTGGTTCATTGCTCTTTGTTGTATATTTGAACGACCTGCCTGTTCAACTGTGCAGCACATCCCTCATGTATGCGGACGACATCGAAATCTGGCGCACAATCAAGGATCTGAATTATCGAAGTTCTCTTCAAGCGGATTTGAACAACCTGGCTCATTGGGCGGACACCTGGGCTCTTACAGTCAACACAACAAAGTGTGCTCACCTGCACTTGGGGCGTGCTGACTCAGAGGTAGTCTACAACTTCCAGGGAACCATATTGCGCAGAACATCGTGCGAACGAGACCTGGGTGTTATTACGTCATCACTAAAAACTCGAGAAAACACCGATCGGGTCTGTGCTAGCGCATGGAGCATTCTAGAGCCTATTCGGCGGTCTTTCAACCAGCTCACAGTAGACGCTTTCAGGCTGCTCTACGCTTCCCATGTCAGACCAAGACTTGAGTATGGTGGTGCGACGACATACCCCTGCACGGCCGGTGAACTGGCTAAGTTGGAGCGTGCACAACGTGCTGCCACTAGACTCGTTGCTGGACTACGCGGGATCAGCTATGCAGGTCGTCTACAGGCTGCTGGTCTGTTTCCAATTGCATATCGACGCCTCAAGGGACATCTCATCTGCCTGAGGAAGATCCTGAGAGGTTATATGGGCCCGGAGCTGCCACAGTAATTCCCTCTACAGACAGAGCACCGCATGCGGGGGCACTCTCACGTTGCAGAAACTTTAATCAGTTGGTCCTCCGTTAGTCTTCCGACTCTCGCGTAGGTCAGCAACACTCTGGAATTCCTTTCCAGCGATTGTGGTGGAAGAGAAGACAGACGCTGATTTCCAACGGCGTCTGGATGGGAACCTGAAGGGGCTATGGAGCAACGAACATTTGTGATCGGACCTTTGACCCAGTGGTGATGGGGCTTACATGGGCACCCTGCCCTTTGTCCTCAATCCTGAAGATTGAAGACTGAAGGTGCACACCGCATACNCGCACCCAGACTATCCTGAAAAGCTTGCACCGTAACCGGTATTTCACTTGGCAGCAAAACATCGTCTGCATACTCTAAATCAGACAGACTACCACCTTAGAGAAACCCGACACTGCTCTCCTCCCAAGAAGATAGGACTGCTTCAAGGATTAAATATGCGACAAAAAGTTTTGGTTTGATCGTGCTCCCGAATCTGCCGTTTTTTGATTGAACTATGATCTATTCGATGATTGCTCGGCCCATGGTACACCGGGTGAACATAAGATCCGAGTTAGTACATGCGATGCGTCGGTGCAAACGGTTACGTGATTGGACGACGGTCGTTCAACCAATCATACAGTCCATTACGTTCTATGAAACGTGCTCTAATTCTATCAATAAACATAAGCATTTGTTGCTTTCAATTCCTCGAGTATTCCATTGGTGTCCAAAGTTCGGGTTGGAGCCAATCCAGTTCTGAGCATTACAGTACGGGTTTTCGTATTCCTAAATTCAGTACTACTCCGATTACCTCAGTTTAGCGACGCGCAATGGAGTGTCCTACCATTGAACAATCAAACCTCTACGGGAGTCCATCGGAATTCGAAGAGTTGGTGGAACTTTCCAAATAATAATGCAACATCCGAGCCATGTTCAACTCAATAATCAGAGCTGCCAACATGGTATGCCGTGAATTCATCCTTCAGTTGAATAAACAGGTGTCAAAATGGTGATCGATTGGAAGAACAACTTTGAGATCGTTCCATTGCTGCATTCAGTAACATTTAATTATAACGCAAGATGTTGGAAAAGAAGGACCACGTTTGGCGAGGCTGGAAAAATCTGTGAGCAAAGTGATGATTTGTGTGATGCCACAAATGCGAATACATCGGCAATCAACGAAACCATTACGTGAAACACCCAATGTTCATAGTTCACCCCAGGTTCCTCAAGTACGCAGTTCGAGCCGAGCACAACCGAGGGCTGCGACCAATCGCTGCTTTCCATGTGATGAATACCATCTTTATCCGACTTCTCGATTCCGCAATGCCACTTGCCATGCATGCGGTAAGATGAGCCATATCCGTAAGGTATGCTGAATGCCCAAGTGCAACTTCATCGATTCCCATATCCCAAAGGCAGATGAGAATTTAAGCCCACGCTGCATACCACTGAACCCAACGGCCAGATCCTGTTCACCCCTCTGTGGTTATCGTCTGATGTGGAGCGTCATCATAGACACAGGAAGCAGAGAATCTATCCTACCGAAATCAGCACTCACTGCAATTTGTCCCAATGCTGTTCTGGCCCCAAATTCTGTGCGCATTCATGCGGTTACTGGCCATCAATTGCAATTACTTGTCGAAATGATTTGCGTTCAATCTGAATCCGGTGTGTCGATCCCGATCCAATTCCTGGTATCAGCTCACAGTCCGTCCATTCTGGGCCTGCGAACACTGCTACTACTATAAGGATCAATCACACTACATACCAACAACGATAAGCCAATCACCTCACATCTTCAACATTTGATTGTACAATGTTCCAGTAATGTGGGTGACATGAAGGCATCGTCGGTCAAGTTGCAAGTGAACGGTGACAATGTTTTCAAACGACGCGTTCTCCTATACAGTCAACCGGAAGGTGTCCTGAAAGCGTTACAGAAAATGGAACAGGATTGTGTGTGATGTATGTGTTCAAGATCGATTTGGCGAACGCTTACCTACAGATTCCACTCGATGTTCAATCTCGCTACTTTACAACAATCAACACGCTGTGGGGAATGTACCAGTACAATATTCTCCCGTTCGCGTTGCATGTGTCGTCGGGCCTCTTACAATCGGTAATAGACACTGTAAGCAAAGGACACGACAGGGTGCTTGCATATCAAAATGACGTCCTCATTTTCAGTCCTAATAAGAAAGAACACGATGTCCGTCTTGCGTAGCTACTGGAACGATTCGCCGCCCAAATGTGTGTTTGGTGTGAGTGAGTTGGAGTTTCTAGGATTCACAGTCGATTCCCGTGGATACGGTCCCCATCCGACACGTTTCAAACCTTTGAATAACGTCAAATCTCCAGAGTAGCAAACGCACTTGAGATCCGTGATGGGATGTCTGCAGTACTATTCCCAATTTATCCCTAACTTTGGTACAGGATCGTAGCCGCTTTTCCATGCTCAGTGTTCAGACGTTTGGGAATGGTCGGTGGTGTGTGAAGATATCTTCCGTGGATTAATTCGCTGCGTTACTGATTGCCCTGCTTTGGTCCCGTTTTCACCACCGAAACCTACCATACGATGCGTCCGACGTCGGAATCGGTGCTGTATTAGAACAATAGGGATGCCCAGTGATCTGCATTTCACGTCTACTTATTGCGGCTGAGAAGGGATACGCACAGACTCACAAAATAATTGTTTGCTGTATTCTGGGCTGTTCCACGATTACACAAGTACCTTTTCGGATTGCGGTTTACCATCATCACTGATCACGGTTCTCATTTAACCCCAACAAATCCATTGCGAAGTCGACTGCTGCTATGCCACAGAGGTGGAGCATTGCCCTAACAGCGTCAACTACGACATACAACATCGTCCAGGAAAGAAAATCCGGCAGGCTGATTTCCTCTCTCGAGACTTACGACATTCAGACGCCAAACAGTATTATTTCAGCTCCCTTATATCACCAATATCTCGGGAATCTTTAAGAAAATCTGCAAAGCTGTACAACTCGGTCATAATCTCAGTGAGGTAAAGAAAAATTCTCCTCAGTTCTTTGCTCACCGAGAAGTGTCAGCGCAATTGATTGGTGTATTGTGTCGCGACGATTGTTTGTTGATCCCATCGCCACTACAGAAGGCGATACAGGATGAATTGCATAAAGGCATATGGGAGTGGAGAAGATCAAATCATTGGCACGAGAGATGCGTTGGTGGCCGGAGTTTTCATTTCATGAACATCATCATTTTTAACTACATCGCCATCACCATTATCGTCATCATCAGCATCAGCATCATCATCACCAACGTCCTCCTGTTCATCATCAACATCATATGCACTCGAACCGTCATCATCATCCTCTCCCTCCTCATCACCATCATTAACATCCTCCTCGCCATCATCAAATCCATCATGAATATCACCAATAGCAACATGACGTTCATAATAATAATAATCATCATCTTTATTATTATCATCATCATCATCGTCACCAACATCATCTTCATCAACATCATCATCTTTTACTACATCATCGTCACCGTCGTCATCATCATCGTCATTATTATCTTACTCATCATGAACTTCGTATTTATCTTCATCATCGTAAATATCATCATTATTTACATAACCGTCTCCATCTCCATCGTCAATTTCATCATTATTATCACCATCATCAATCATCAGCAACATTTTCTTCACGATTATCATCACGGTCATCATCAACAGCATCACCACTATCATCAGTATCTTCATCGTCATCGTCAACATCGTCCTCCGCGTCATCAACATCATCATCACTATAATCATATTTATCAACACCATCAACGTTAACTACATCATTATCTTCGGCATGCTCATGCTCATGCTCATCATCATCATCATTATCTTCATCATCATCATCAAGGACATCCTGCACATAATCAACATCATCATTATCAACATTATTATCATGATCAACATGACCATAATCATCAACTTCTTTATCATCAACATCATCATCAACAACGTCATCATGATCATCAGTGTCATCGTTGTCATCAAGCACTCCATCTTCATCATCATCATCAACATTATCTTCATCATCATCATCATCATCATGAACATCGTCCGTTTCAACATTATTATCGTCAATTTCTTCATCATCGTCATTTACGTCAACTTCACCATCATGATCACCAACCATCACCATCAGCAGCAACATCATCGTCAAGGTTATCGTCATGGTCAGCATAATTATCATCATCATCAGTTGCAACATCATTATCATTATTGCCTTCCTGTTCGTCATCGCTATCATCAACTTAGTCATCATCATCACATTCATCAACTTTAACACCTCTACCATCATTGAAATCATCATCAATCTGCTCGTCACCAAAAAGGGAATTGATCATCAACACCACTAATATTATTATGACCTTTGTCATCATCATCATCATCATCATCATCATCATCATCAACAACCTCATCATCATCATCATCA